GAGAAAACGAGCAAAAGAAATAACAAGTGTATATGTGTTTATACTAGCGTAAGTAATAATGTAATAAAAAGACAAACACTATGTTGTATTTGAATTAGTCGAATAAATAACAGAGAAAGAAAAATGACATATATGTCTTAAGAATAAAATATATATAAAATTTTTATAAGATTTTAGTTTTTAGAAATATCAAATGGAATGGATTTTTCATTATCAAATTTATTTATTATTCTTTTCATTATATTAATTGATTATTCATTATTTATTAATACATATGATTTTCAATGTTTAACATGTGACAATTTTATTGATGGACCTGGTTGTGGTGAATTTACACGAGAAATACCTGTAAGAACATGTCAAACATATTGTTATTTTGCTATTATTTATAATCGTTCATTACCATTATCAATACATCAACGTGAAACATCTTCAAATATATTATTAAGAGCTGTACGTGATTGTTCACCTTATGAAGATATGTCAATTGAAGGAAATTTATTACTTGAATCAAAAATTGGTACATCATCTATTAATATAATAACGCTTAAACGTTGCAACAGTGAACAATGTAATAATGATTTTTATTTAAAATCTGATGAATTTCTTTTCGGTAGAAGTTCATCATATCGGCAAATATCATTTCCAATTTTGTTTTTTTCTTTTGTGATTATTTTTTATTAATAGAAGAGCATGTTTTGAAAACAAAAAAAGAGAAAAAAAAAAAAAAAAAACTTTATTCTTTTTCTTTTTCTCTAAATAGACAGATCCAAAGCTTAAATGCATACGTAATTATGACTGTGTTCGATAGATGAGAGCCAAACGTACACACATAAATATAATCATCGTCGTTGATGTGTCTATTATAAGAACTTACCGCCGACTGTTTCTATTCTCTTCTCTTTCGTAATGTGTCAACAAGTGAGAAAAAACGACATACGAATAATTACATGTATATGTTCAATAGTAGAAATTGCTCAATAGGAATATAAATATACACATTAATCTCCTACTGTATTTTTATGATATAACATTATATGAATTGACCTACATTTCAGGTTTAATAATGCCTTTAGATATTGCTAAATCATGATAAGTTTTACAAGCCATTAATATCGATTCAGTACCACCAGATGTCATCTAAATTTGAGATTAAAGAAAAAAACAAGAACTAATGTTTTTAGAATTTTAAAATAAATTACTATTCTACAAACATCTATATCATCATGAAATATAGTTGCTATACAACGAATAATTTCAGCTTTCATTGTACGAATATCAGAAAAAATATAAATTACTTTATTATAAATTTCTATCATATCTATTTTTGTTAATTTCATCTAGAAATTTGTCCTGATTTCAAATTAATTTTTTCTAATTTTCGATATTGTTCAAGTTTCTTTATAAGTTCTTTCTTTAGACAAAAAAATCAATCAATAAAAGAATTATTTCTAATACGTTTACTTGAGATAATCTTTGATATGATAAAACTTTAATAAATTCATGTCCTGCAACACTTTTTACTATATTATTAATGTAGATTCACGTGTTTCAGTAATTTTACATTGTACAATAAGTAATCGATGAACCCTACGAAAGATTATTTCTCGAATACGTGTAGAAATATCTATGATAAAATAAACATATATAATTACATATTCTTTATCCAGTTGTTTATATAACATAATTTATCGAGAAGTGAAGTAATAACTATGTTCTTTCAAAAAAAACAAAAAAAAAATAATGAGACTTGATCATTACTATTGTTTCCGATGTCATTTAAAATCAACTTGTATTCAATTGTTTCATTTCAATTACCATCATGAATAGATGTTGACAAATTGAAATCTTACGAAGGAAGTTACTCAACTAGTTAGTCGCTTTTGAATCGAGATTATTGAAAAGAGTTCGAATTCTTACCTTATTACTGCCGAGATATTGCATTTTTACAGTATTTTTTTGTTTCAGTTCATGCCGTGATCTCCCACAGGAACGCTGATTTTCGAATTTTAACTTGAAACTTTCCATAGAGATTGAGTTTACTAAGAATAGTTTAGTATACCAAGAATGTCTGCCGAGAGTCTCGGTATATCCCTAGATACAAGTCTGCCTTTTTTACTGCTCATATACACCGATAGATTTGATGTTCCTTTATTTTAGGAAAGTAGCAAATCAAAAGACAATAAACTATTCTGGTTAAGATCTGTCTTTGTACAAAGTTTTCGAAAACGAATTTTTCTAGTGTTCCTGAGAGACTTTAAAAACTGTAAAAAATGCAGTATCTTTACAGCAATAAGATAAGGACTTGAGCTCTTTTTCAGGACATTCATAGCATCATTAAGACGCACATTGTTCGAACTCCAAAGCGAATAATCAGTTACGGGACTTCGCTTGTTCAATAACTATTTACTGTTCATTAATAGATGTGTACCTTAGAAGGAAACAGTGAAATCTCTATTATTTTATCCTCTCAAAGAACATTCATTACAAAATAATTTTTTTTTCTAAATTTACCTTCATCATGTGAAAATAAAAATTGATAAATGCTTAAACCACATGTAGTAACTAGAGCAGTAATTGTAATGGCGACAATGAACTCATCAATTGTTGATTTAATAAATGAGATTTTTCTCTCAAAAAATTCATGTAGGATTTTCTAAAGGATAATTATGATATTGATTTCATAAATCAAAAAAACAATGCTAAATTTACCATATAAAATGATTGAATAGTATCCATATTCAATGTTTGTATGATAACAAATTGTTATTTATCTGCAAGTTACATGTACATTTAGATAAAATTTTGCTTTTTTTTCACTTTGATTCAATAAAAAAAAAAACAATGAAATCAACTGTAATCTTTATTAAATTAATTCAATATAAATGACAAAATGTCTCAAATCTATATATTTCACATTGTATGTTTCAGTATTCCTTAAGAACGAATCCGAAAACATCTAGCATTCACCTGTGTTATGTTAAAGTTTATTTTCTATTCAACATAAGTTATCTTCTAGATCAAAAAAAATATCTTTTTTTTTTAATATTTAAATCGAACTTTTCTTTTTTGTCCTTAACAACAAATTATATTTGATGCATATAACAGAAAGACAAAAATATGATTCAGTTTCCAATCAATACTAGCAAGCAACAACTGAATGGAACAAATAAGAAAAACTGTTCTATTGGATAAATTGATTTTAAAAAATTTTTGACAAATTGCAGGTCACGAGCGAATAGATATTTGAAATCTTTTGAACTATACTCTTATTCAAATGAATATATAAATACAAACTCATTCACCTTTATAATCAAAAAAGAAAAAAAAACTGAAGAATATGATTACTTTTGAAGTGCGTATATTCTTAGATTAATCATATTATCAAATAAAAACATTCATAGATTATATACAAATGAATTTGATGAAGCAAATAAATGAAATATTTGAAGCATACACAATCGTTGTATTCATTGATCGTTAGTTTATATAATACAAAAACATAGGTTTTAGATATTATAATAAACTTCAAGAAAATGTTACCAGAATGGATCAATTTTATTTTCAGATCTTTTGATTTACTTCTATCCTGAAATACGCGCATCAAATCTGTCGGTTAATATGAACAAATTAAAAGGAATGCTATGTGCATAGTTGTAGTTTATGTTAGCAACAGTGACAAGGTCTAAAACATTCACAAGACATTATTCTCGTTAAAATCAGTTTCCATGCAAGGCTTTCAGTCAAAATTCGAAAATCAGTTTTCATAAGGGAAGTATGGTATTCATTTAAAAAACACCATAAAAGTACAGTATCTCCGTAGTAATAAGATAAGAGCACGAACTCTTTTCATGGTATTCATAGCTCATTTAAGTCTACATAACACACGTAGTTTCAACTAGAGTCGGATCCCAAATTTTTGTACCTGGATTCAAAGCCGGTCGAATCATACTTTAATACTTCCAATGACATTTTCTAAATGGAATAGGATCGTTGCCCCGAAGATATGAGATACTTTTTTTTCTGGATTCTTTGTATTTGGTGACTAGTGCATTCTACACAATCCAAAATTTTCGAACTGGGCGAATTCTAGTCTCGAGTCAAAAGGGATTTATCAGTTGAAGAACTTCCCCTACCAGTCGTGTATCATTCGATTTCAGTAGTTATCTGATAAAAACTTGATGAAACTAATAATATCTTTACAAAAGTTGCATCCATTAAACACTGCGATAAATGAGTTCGCTTTTCCGTTTTATTTATTTCTTTTTTATTGCTATTTATTTACAATGTGTCTAAAAATTAAAGTTAAAACCTAAAAATTCAACTCCTGAAAACAGGAGAATTTGTGTAAATTCTAAGTCAGACATTATACTCAACTTAGAACATAGTGTGTGTGCAACACTTCTTAAATTGTTTCGATTTGAATATAGAAAAAAAAGCATACAGATTCAAGTTTGAATATGATGTATTTATGTCTAATAACATCTTGAACTTACTTATGATGCTTTTCCTTTTTGTTTTTTTTTAAAGTTCAGTTATATAAAATTCAATAAAATCTTCACAAATTAATTTATTAAAAATCTGTATGAATTTATTTGTTCAATTTCTTCTCATATATTTTCATTTTATTAAATAGGAAATAAATCAATTTAGAAATAAAAAAAAAGAAATCATGATCATTTGTGTTCTCGTTTCTTTTTTTGTTTTTGTAATCATCACTTTCAATATCGATGTTTTTCTTTCATTACATCGCCACTCTTCGGAACGCGTGTTTTACACACACTACAGAAAAATAATAATAATAAGTTAAAGATAATAATAAAAAAAAAAAAAAACTCACACATTATACATTCTCTTTTGTTTAAAAAAATTTTGTTCTATAATGTAAATTGCTTAGTTTCATGTAAAGATAAACATACACATATTCAAAGAGAAAAAATTTATATACAAATGTTCTTTCTCTTTCTCTCTCTCTTTTACATATATACATAAATTTGAATTTATGTATCTTTAATGCAACAATAGATTAGTTTTGGTTCCAATTCTGTATAAACATTTTGAGATATTTGTATACGAAGAAATTTACAAAGTAAACCGAATTGTTGATGTTTTACATGTGCAAATGGTTTAAGAATTTTTTTCAATGTATATACGGGTGATGAACAAGCAATAAGTGCTTGACAAAGATCAGTAATAAATAAACGAATATATTCTGTTAATTGATATTGTAATTGTTGCATAACTTGTAATGGTAAGGTTGATGAATTGTTACTCGACGATAAATAACATTGACGTTCCAAAATTAATAAAAGTTCAATTAAAATAGTTACACTATATGAATTTGTAAATAATACTGGATCTGAAAATGGACTTGACGATGCAGCTAAATATCAAAGAAAATATATGTTAATTGACAATTCAAATAATCATTTACTACGCAAGTCATATCATGAAAACAACATTTTCATTAAAATCTGTAGGATTGGCTCTAGGTTCGAATCCGAAATTTTGAGACCCGACTGTAGAGCCTATCAGGTTCAAGATTTTTGGACTCGGATTTGGTCGCTTAAATTTTTTGAATCCAAGCACGATGATAAATCAGTTTCGATAATATATTCAAAAAGTGTTTTTTTGTCTATCTTCTAAATGCATTCAATTTTTTTTTCTTCATAAAACGAATAAAATTTTGAAAAAATTCACAATACATTGTATGCATCAAAGTTTTCTTCAGAGTTTGATCCGACCCGGACTCGGTCACAGCAAAATTTTCAGATCCGGATTCGGCCAAAACGAAATTCTTAGACCCGTTCGAGTCCGGGCCCCACTCGACTGACTTCAGTTCTCACACTCTTCATGATCGTATTGCTTTAACGGATAGTGCGAAAGTTTTATGGACAAGAGGTTTGTTGATTAATGATTCGTTCGAATGTATTCTAGACGAATGAAACACTATGAGTTAGAATTAGAAGTGTGTTGTTATCGAATATGGGTTCAGAAATTTTTTGTTCGGGACTCTGGAAACAATCTTCAATCAATCCACTCTCACACTCACACCCTAGATCTCACATATATGAAGAATTTCGGATTTTGTAGACTTCGCAAGTCTTATCTTAAAAGCTCTTTTTTTTATTATCTAATGAGATTCCTTCCGATAGATAAAAAAAAAAATATTATATACCAGAATGAAATTCAGTAAGTTTTTCTTTAATTTGTTCATTATAATAAGTATAAACTTGAGTTAATAATTGTTCAAATGTTGTTTTATTACTAATAATTTGTTGTTGTATAAGACTAATTGTATTCATAACAATAGGTTCAATATGAAATGTTGTTGACCATCGATAAATCATATAACTTAATGAACTATAAAAACGTATAAATAATAATTCAAAATAATTTGTTGTTTTTAAATATGGATATAAACGTTCAAATATAATTTGACCTTTATTAAATTGACCAAACATATCAGCAAATAAATATTGTTGATGATTTAAATAATGATCAATAATTGAACTAAGTAATTGTTTTGATTCTATAGTAACTGTTTCTAATTCAGTTTCAGTTTTTATTTGATTTGATATTAATAATCTATCATTATTCAATCGTAAAATATCACGATATATATTTTCAATATTTAATAAAAGACCTAAAGTATATTTATCATGTGTAATAGCATTTGCTCGTATACCTAAGGTAAATTGACCTAAATAAAATTAAAATTATTAAAAATTAATTTGAATACAAAAACAAAAAAAAGAATATTTTACCATCAAGATGAAGAATACATCTTGGATGTCGAGGAGTTGCCATGGATTGTTTACCAAGTTGTGTTGATATTCGTGATGCATATGGTAATGATTGTATAGGATTTACATTACTAAATGTTACTTGTGCAGATGTTTGAGATAAACGTTGAGCAAGTCTAATATTCATAAAATTAAATTTGCATTCATATTCTGCTTAGAAAAAATATATCTTATGGAAATTTATGATCTATTGAACTGATTATTCTTTTCCTTTGCACAAAAAAAATATATATATATATATATTGAATGTGAACCTACAGAGAATTTCCAATTTCCAAGTGAGCTATTCTTGACTCTTGCTTGATCAATATCTCTCGAAAACGTTATTGTATAGAGTTCAAAATTTTATGCGATTTGAATGTATCTGATCCAAGATTAATTTTTGAAGATCCGTGAGGCTTTAAGGAAACTCCGCCCTTTTCCGACCCAAAATTTTTATTTTTTTCGTTTTTCATTTTTAGATCTAAATGTCCTCTATCTAATGAACACATTTTAGGAAGATAAAACCATCTTTTTCCATATAAAAAATCTCAATTTTATGCTAAAAAAGCCAAAAAGTGCAACCTTTGTGATTTTCCTAAAATCAGATTTTTAAACCAAAAAATTGAAGTTTCCCGCTAGGCAATTCGACTGATTGTGCTCAACATTTTTTTATAAGAACTTCGATCAAATTAAGGCGCGTATTGTTTTTCCTCTTGAAAATGTTGTACTTATCAAGTTTGACAGATTTTACAAAATTAGCACCACTCGAAAAAAAAAAATCATTTTTTCGTAGTTTTGTTTCTCCTGAGCTTCAGAAACAATATTTTCCAAAGAAAAAAAAACACGCACCCAAACTTGTTCCTAGTTACCACAAAAAAATTTCAACCCTAAGTAACGCAATATGGATGTTTGCGGGAAGAGGGGATAACTTCAGGTCATTTTTGATTCTTGATCTCCTGAAAGGAAGCGTTTGAGAATTTAGAGTCTATGACAACTTTTATTCTACTCAGAGATCTATCTGCCCTGAAAGTTTCATAAAATTCTCCTAATGATAATTTTTAAAGGTGCTGAGATCACGGATCTCTAACACCGTCAGTTTATCGATCATTTCAGTTGAAGAAAAAAAAAGTTCTGTATTTATTAAGGGAGAAATATTCATATTGTGTTGAATTCAAAATAAAAGTATTTAAATGTTTTTTTTTTCTAAACAAAAGGCATCATTGGTCTGTTTACGTCCTCTTTTCTTAGACGAAGAACAACAAAAAGAATGTATCAATATTGCTATTGTTACTAAGAACCTCTTTTCTCGTTCTAGTTTCTTGTTTTACATGTCAAAATACTGACTTACCCTATATTAATTTAACTAACAAATTTAAAATATTACGTGCTCATAGCGTATCTAGAGCAAATTACTTCAATTTCAAGGTGTGTGAAATTTAGGTATAAAAATGAATCAGGGAAGGATTTGTCCACTATTGTAAGAATAAAACATAGTGTTGTTCGAACCAATTATAGTGTTTGTAGGGATCCTCTTTTATATGACCAGAACAACACCATGTTTTGTCCTTATAATAATAGAGTGAATTTTTTCTGTAGCTCATGGAAACGGCGTTTTCGATCTACTACTAGAAAAATTCACTCTACTATTATAAGGATAAAACATGGTCCTACAAACGCTATAATCGGCTCGAACAACACTATGTTTTATTCTTACAATAGTGGACAAATCCTTCCCTGATTCATTTTTATACCTAAATTTCATACACCTTGAAATTGAAGTAATTTGCTCTAGATACGCTATGAGCACGTAATATTTAAAATTTGTTAGTTTGGCGGTGATAGCTTTAATATGTCCAGTTGATTTAACTGACAACATAAACACCTTCATGCTAAGAAACGAACCGATCCCATCTCTACTCTCAATAGAATCTTGTTGATATAAAATTTCTTCATACTCATTTTCTTGTTGAATTGATTTTAATAATTGAAGTACTGGATAACTTATTTTTTGTCCACGATGATTATGACGATTTGATTGATTACTATGTATTTGTTGTATATGACGTTTTTGTTGTGACCATTTATGAAAATAATAATCCTAGAAAATATCAGTTGA